TGGTGGGCACCTGTAATTCCAGCTACTCAGGAGTCTGAGGCAGGAGAATCTCTTGAGCCTGGGAGGTGGAGGTTACAGTGAGCAAAGATCATGCTACTGTACTCCAGTCTGGGTGACAGAGCAAGATTCGGTCTCAAAACTAAACAAGCAAATAAATAAATAAATATCTGGGTGTGGTGGCATGCTGTAGTCACAGCTACTCTGGGGGCTAAGGTGGAAGGATCTTGCTCTGTCACCCAGGCAGGAGTACAGTGGCACAATCTTGGCTCACTGCAACCTACCAGTTTGGTTGCTTTAAGAACCCATATCAGTGTTGCCTTGGCCGATCTCGAACTCCTGAGCTCAATTGATCCACCCACCTCAGCCTCCCAGAGTGGTGGGATTATGGGTGTGAGCCACCACTCCTGGCCTAAGACTGCTTTTCCTAACAGTTCTCTTGAAACCCAGATTCTGGTCGACACTGGTCGACACTGGTCGACCAAGAGAGGCTCTGGCACATAGTAGGTGCTCAAACTGCAAAAATACGTCCATGTATCTGATGAGTAGAAATGCACAGAAATGTGCTAATTGAAATAATCATTTAGGAGGCAGAGTTGAATGGATGCAAAGGAAGAGGGAAAGGGTGTTTTACATGTAACTACCCTGCACACAGTAGGACTTACTGGATCTCCTCTCTGGGTTGTGGGTAGAAGTGGACTTTCATTTCAGAGTTTGGTTCTGTAATTCTTTCATCAAAATATTTGTTGTTTCCTAGAGCAGTTGCAATTGAGATGTGTCTCCTATATAAGTAATCCACCATTGAACCCGAGTTGGATAATGTATACTTTACTAATATAAGGCACACTTCTGGGCACACTAAAATAGTAAGTGTGATTGTAGACTTATTTTTTCTCTCTCCTTCATTAACTCTGATCTGCTGAAAGCCCTTCAGCATGCTTTAAAAGTAGGTCAGACACTATAGAAGGGTCTGGTTGGCCTATAAGGACTGGTTTTTCTTTTATTGCCAACTCTTGGCTCTCCATCATTGAGTTTGTCTGTCTGCAGGAAGATGAGCACTTCCTTCAGTTGTGCATGGCCTACAGGGAGCACAATTACTTTCACATCATACTTCCCAGCAAGTATCAAATCTATAATTTCTGCCGCCTTTATTTATTCATCGTGACAGATTTTTTCAGGAGCTCATTTGGCTGGTATGTGAGTGTAGTGTAAAGTTTCACCGGTGAAAATTTTCAGAGATGCACATGGTGAGCATGCTGTCGAGAGCCCTAATTTGTGTTCTGAAGCCAGCAAGAGTCACAACACAAAATACAAAAGGATGATACCAGCACAGGTTCACTGTAAATTGCACAGTTTTAAGGATAAAGGGATGCGTTCCTATAAAACAGGTCATTTATAGTGAAGTCTGGTCAAACAAATTTAAAGGGTCGTTATGACATCCCTTGTACAATCAATGTTTGAAGTTTCTGGAACTTTATCTTTGATAGAACTGTTGCAGAATGGTTCTTCTCTCATTAGCCATCTTAAGTTGCATATTTTCATGGCATGAGTCATTTTCAGGCGTAACAACTGGAAGCTTGCTGCTTTTGTGTTTTCTTGGAAAGCCTGTAAAAGAGCCCATTTGAGTACATTCCAAAAAGATGGTCATCTTTTGCACCTTGGAGGGAAGTCATGCTAGATAGTAACACATTAAGGAAAATGTTCCACATCTGTTCTATTTTCACTTCTTGTTGAAATTTACAGTCATAGGAATTCTGTTTATTCCCCATTTGCTGTTTGATTCTCCAGTTGACTAATAAAAGCCAGAGAGTTGTCAATGGAGTTTTTTGTTTTTTGTTTTTTTTTTAAGATAAGCAGTTCACTTCTTCACACATTTGTGGCAATTCAAGGTAAATCCAGTAGGAAAATAGCATTTCAAGTTGGTGGTTTTGGTTTCTTTTTTCTTATATGGTGGAAATCAAAGGTTCTTATAAGGAAAACACCCATCTCTATGAATAGATAAATAACAAGTGATTTATTGTTTGTCTTTGACATTATATGAAAGTCATCGTATTCCACAAGCCAGGAAAAACATCCACAGTAGCAACTCTGATAGCATTTCTCTGTTATTATTTTTAGGCCCTTGGCCAATTTAAAAAGCATCAGATAAATTGAGTCACTTTTGTTTTGCTTGCCTTTCCCCAGCAGTGTTTGCTATTTCTTAAATAATCTTTATACATTAATGTCAATATCTAACTAAACATCATTATCCAGGCACAACTTTGCTGTAGAATCCAACATAGCTTAACATGTTATCATTGGAAGAGTGTTTTGCATTTTTATCAGTGTCTTCTTTCTCATATAACACCAATATTTCTTGATCCTCAGGTGCTTTTTTTTTTTGCATTTGGGTGTTTTTAAACATAGATGTATATATTTAATGCCGTAGTTTTCTTTTTTCCTGAAAAGCCATAAATTGAAAGTTGTATCTTATAATTAATTACATCTTAGAACTAAGGAAATTTTGGTATTGTGAAAATTACTAAGTGCTATAATGTGAATGTATCACCCAAAATTCATGTGTTGAATCCTAATGGCCAGTATGTATTAAGAGATGGGGACTTTCTGAGGTGATTCAGTCATGAGGGTGGAACCTTATAAACAGACTTGAGAGAGTGGGTTTCCTTTCTTCCAGTGTTCTGCCATGTGAGGACCCAGCGTTATCCCCTCCGGGGATGCTGTAACAGGGCGCTATCTTGGAACGAGAGACCAGGCCCTCAACTGACAAACTTGCCAGCGCCTGGATCTTGGAATTCCCTGCCTCCAGAACTACGATAAATAAATTTCTGTTCTTTATAAACTACTGTCTCAGGTATTTTCTTATAGCAGCACAAAGAAAGACAAGGCTCTTCCTTTTTGTTAGTTCTGCTTTAACTTTATATTCAGGCTTACAAGACCAGCATGTAGGAGGCTTTTCAGTTTCTTAGGAATTTTACCTACAATTAGAGTAACTTTCTGTTCAATGGCAATAATGCCTCCCTCTTATCTGCACTCTGTGGTTCAATCTGCTAGACAGAAAATTTAATGCATGTTTCCAAATAATGCCTTAATTTTTTATTCCAAATAATTGTCAAAATTTTATTATGTAAATTGTCATATAAATTATTTTATTCAAAATAGAAGCAGCACCATGAATTTCAGTGTCCCCTTTGACCATCTCAACACTGTGCTATATCTATTTTTTGGTCTGGTAAGCATAGATTATCATTTTTTAAATATTTACCTGAGATCTTTTTCTGGTTATTCATAATATGCATGAACCTGTAGAAAATATATAATAAATAGTACAGAAAGTATGTGTGTTTGGATGTGCATGAAGGGTATCACACTCTTCTTTGAAAGCTTGGTAAAATCTGTCCGTAACATATCTTGGCCTGATACGTATTTTTTTCTTTGCAGTAGCTAGGAAAAGGGAAGGAGGAGATAGTTCTTTAACTTCATTTTAGTTATAGTCATTGCTCTATCCACATTTTCTATTGCTTTTTAAGATAGTTTCATTAATTTGTTATTCTAGAAAATGATCCATTCTGTCTAGATTTTCACATTAATTGGTATAAAGTTGTACATGGTATTCTCTTATACATGAAAATAAAGCTTTTTAATATTTGTATTGCCTCCTTTTTTGCTCCTAAGGTTGATTATATATGATTTCTCCTTTCCCCACTCATGGCCTTATTTGCCAAAAGTTTTTCTATTTTAATAGTGCTTCCCTAGAAACAGTTTTTCTCTCGATTTTTTCTTTATTGCCAACAGTGTCCAGTATAAATGTCTACCTTAATTTCATTATTTCTTCTTTCTACCTTTTAAAAATAGCTTTATTGAAATATAGTTCCCATACTACATAATTGACCTATTTTTAAAAACTCATTTTTTTTAGATTATTCTCAAGGTGTACAACTGTCACCACAAAATTAGAGAATGTTTTTATCACCCTGAGAAAGAAACCCTGTACCCATTAATAGTCACATCCCATTTCCTTCTAACTCCCACAGCTATAGGTAACTTCTGATTTACCTTCTGTCTCTATATATTCACCTATGGTGTAGATTGCATATAAATAGAATAACACATTATGTGACATGTTGTGTCTTCTTTTACTCAGCGTAATGTTTTCAGGTTTATCCATGTTGTATCAGTATTTCATTCCTTTTTATTGCCCAGTAGTATCCTCTCATATGGCTGTGCCACATTTTATTCATTCATCAGTTGGTGAACATTTGAATTATTTCTACTTTTTGGCTATTATGAGTAATAATGCTGCTATAACGTTCATGTATATGTTTTTATTTCTCTTGGGTGTATACCGAGGGAATCATTTGGTCATATCATAAATTTAACTTTTTGAGGAACTGCCAGACTGTTTTCCAAAGTGGCTAAACCGTTTTATATTAGCATACAGGACACTTCCAATTATCAACATCTTTACTCACTTGTCCTTTTGATTAGAGCCATTTTAATGGGTATGAATGGGATCTCATTGTAGTTTGGATATGTTGAGCATCTTCCCATATGCTTGTTGGCCATCTGTGTATTGTCTTTGGAGAAATGCCTATTGAATTCCTTTGCCTATTTTTATTGGATTATTTGTCTTTTTATTGTTTAGTTGAAGTTTTTCCCATATTCTAGATACAAGTACCTTATCAGATAAATGCTTCACCAGTATTTTCTTTCATTCCATGGGTTTCTTTTCACTAACTTGGTAATACTGTTTTCAGCACAAAAGTTTAAAATTTTAATACAGTCTAATCTAATTTTTTATTTTTATTTTTGCTTTTGGTGTTACCCAGGATAAAAAAGATTTACTCCTTTGTTATCTTTTAAGATTTTTATAATTTTAGATATCACATTTAGGTCCATGATGCATTTTGAATTATCTTTGTGTTTGGTGTGGAGGTAGGGGTCCAGCTTCATTCTTTTGCATGTGGATATCCAGTTGTCCCAACACTGTTGAATTTTCTACTTTTGTTTTTGAATCTATTTCATTTTAATTTTTATAGCATCATGCATAGAAAGCATAATTAATTTCTGCCTTTCTTATTCTCTAATAAATGCATTTAAGGCTATAATTTCCTTCTGTGTGGGCATATGGGTATATCCCGCAGATTTTATTATGAATTTTTGCTTTCCCTTTGACTGTTAATGGCTGTTCTTATTGCATTTTAGTCAGTGAATGTGGCCTGTGTTATGTGAGTTAAATTTTATCCATAGGATATTTCTGTTAAAAAACAAACAAACAAACAAACAAACAATAAAACCCCTTTCTAACCCCATGGATGTATTCTACCTCTTTATTATATCCAACAGAGCTATATGCTTGGTATGTGCTCAGTAAATATTTGTGGAAAGACATATGCAGAGCAAGCATTTAGAGGGAATTCACACCTAAGAGTTAGCAGTGTTGATGTGCCAGTAATAATACTTAGCACTTTCTCTGTGCCGGGAACTCATCTAAGTACGATGCCCTCTATTCACCCAGTTAGTCTTCATCACAGTTCCATGAGGCAGGAACTCTTTTTACTCCCATTTTCCAGGTGAAAAAGTAGAGTCATTGTAAGGTCAAGTTTGTCCAGTGGTTCACACTGAGAAAGCCAGAGGTGGGGTTTTGAACTGGTCTGGCCCCAGATCCCACTCTCATAACCCGTATGTTCTATTGCCTTGCAAGTGGTCACTTTTCCACAACATTTAATCTGATTCCTAAACATTTCTCTAATTACTTTGAATGTGTTCAGTGAGAGAAACTCTCGACCTTTTTCTCACAGTTATTTTTCAAAAATTGCTAGTAAAGAAGTGTCTACATTTCACTGCCTCTCTAAACTGCACTCTCAAGGCACTGCAGCCATAGCTTGCCCTTGGGCTCTATAAGCCCGGCACCCATGAAGCTGGCTAGCCTAGGACCTACTGGTTTTAATTTTGTGTGTGCGACAAAAGAGACTTTCAAAGAAATGCAACCAAGCATCTCTCCTGGCTCATGCTGGAGACCACACAAGCTGGGAGAGCCTTGGTTTTTGAGATCGAGTGTGTCGAGATACTACACCTCTGAGAAAAACCAAGTAGATTTTCATGGACTCTTTTCCTTGTGCTTCTCTTGCACATAGAGAAACCTGGTCTTTGGAGCTCTGATTGAAAATAATTTGTTATTATTAGGGATATTTCCTAACCAAAATGACAGCTATTTTTCTCTCCCTATTGAAGATTGGAAAGCTACATCCTTGAATACTTATTGAATAAAAGTTCCCTTCTTTCTCTCATAAAAAGAATGCCTTTTGTATTTTTGTTCCCTTCAGGGAAGTTTCTATGCAGCTTCCTTGCAAAAGAGCAATTTAATTTGTACTGCACAATCATTTTCTTGTGGAAAACTAATAAAATACAAATTCCATTTTTCAGCATTAGGTTGTGGCTAAAGGCTTTTGAAAGTTTTATGTAGTATCTGCTTTTCTTTTTCCATTTTTAAAAATAATGATTGAGAGGAAAAATGATGTAAATGCTCATATGTATTATGTACATGGTTGATAAAATATTCCCTTAAGTTTATTGTTTTTCTCAAACAAAACATGTAAGTGAATACTTTGCATGTAACTCTCAAGGCCTTTCACCTTCCTGCAAGTAGATGTGAATCAAGAATGAAGCCGGCGAATCTGTGTTTCTTCTGAGACATCTTACTCACTTCTTTCTGGCAGGTCCAGGATGTCTAGGGTTCTGCTCTTTGCATTTCACTAATTAAAGCCCTGGGAGCTGTTCCATTTTGCAGGTCCCCTCAGAAGTAGAAGATGAGCGCTTGCTTTTGGCTGAGATGTTTTACACAGAAACAATCATAATAGTAGCAGTTGCGATAGGTGACATTTAGGGAGCACCTGTTGTGTATGGTGAACTGCACCAAGCACTTTGTATGTATGATCTGCCTAATAAGTAGAGAGTTATTGTTCCATTTTATATGCCAGGGGAAACAAGCAAGTAATTTATCTGCAGTCACACAGCTGGAAAATGGAAAGATGGGGTTGGAACCTACTGAGTCTGACTCCAGTATTGAGTCTTTTGACCACAGTGAGTGACTAGAAGGAAAAGGAGCCTTCAACATGCTGTCCTTCCACACCCTGGATTTTTCAGATGGGCATGACTAGGTTTACTGAGTAGCAAATATGAAGGAACAAAATTTATTTTCTCATCTGCTGTGAAATCCAACCAATACTGCCTTCACAGGAAAGATCTATGCTGCCTTGTTATCTGAATGGCTCACTGCCCTCTCAGCTTTCTCCTGCACCCGTAAGTCTGCATTGCCATCCTATGATCCACCCATTTGTAATCTAGCTTCTGCATTGCCTCCCCTGACACACCCCAGAAAGAAGCATGCCCTTGCTTCCTTTCCCCTCTTGCCGTATTTTCTTGGCATTCTTCATCTCAGAACATCTTCCAGCCCCTTTATCTCCTCCTGTCCAAGTCGTAGTAATGAATTCTTGGAGGATGCTTGCACGCGACTCTGTAGCACCTGGATTATGAGAAGGAAGGCAGTGGATAGAGTCCTTTCTTTGACAGTCTGGAGGCATTCACTCTCTTGCTACAAGGTGTAGCTTCAGCAGTGACTGACCATTTGAAAATAGAGAAAGTTTACCTTTCCAAAGCTAGAGGTCTCTCAATAAAGTTTTCTCACTAAGGTGGATGAAGAGGAAGGATCCCTCAAAAGAAACAGGATGGAGATGATACCACTGGCTCTTACAGAATCTTTTAAAGAGGCAGCTTTGCCAGGCTTCTGCTCCAGAGCCCAGCCTCTCCCTATCCACTATCCTATCGCTCCTTAAAAACAGTGAGTTTTATTGACACAGAGGTGAGCAGTAAAGAAGCAGCTTGATTCTGAGTCAGATTGTACCCTTGATTCTTGAAGTGTCAATTCCTTGAAAGTGGATTCTTCAAATTCATTTTCTAAGCCACTCCATAGTCTTTAGTTTAACTCCAAAGGAAGACAATTATTTCAAACATAAGAGTTATTATCTATTGGAATTTCTTACAAAGTTGGGGAAGAGGCAGAAGGGCAGAAGTCAGTTTCATCAGAAGGGACTTCTGTCCCTTGCTCTTGGGAAGTGAGGGTTGCATCCCTAACCAAGAAAGGGAGTCACACCCCTTCCCTCAGCCTCATCCACCCACTCATGCACTCAGCCTCCAGCATGTCGCAAATGGGGCAACCCTATTTCCCGCCTTTCCATGCCCAGGGGCTCCCACAGGGCCACGCGGGTGATGGGGACCTGACACGCCCCAGCAGGGAGAGGCTCGCTCGGTCCCCGCCCCCTCCGCAGGTGCGGCCCTAATCCCCCCGGCCTAGATATCCGGCAGCCTCTAGGAGCCCGGGCTCTGTGATGTAATGCTCTTTTTTCACACTCCGGGCTTAAATACAGATGGAAATTGTTGTCATGTGTTAGAAATGTCGCCAGTAATATAAAAGGCGCAAGCCTGGGCATCTTCTTTCCCTTCTCGCACCATCAGCTGTTCCTGCTGCCAGCACCTCTTCCCTCGAAAACCCGCTCTGTGGTCAGGTGGCCCAGGCGCCCCCAGCTCTCCTAGGAAGGGGTTCGGATCCCACCCCCCTACCCCCGCCTCTCTTTACAACCGCTGCAGAGCCGAGGACCAGCGTGGTGGGAGGCGGTTTCAGGCTCACAAAGGGAAGGATTAATCTTGGCGATTGGGCTGGGGTTTGCAGGCAAGTACAAGTGGTCCATGATCTCCTCTCGCCACCCCTCCGCCGCCCCCTGCCCACCTCTGGATTCGAACGCTCTGCCGCTGGAGGAAGCCTGGGGACAGGCAGGCGGCGGCAGAGGCGCCCTGCCACCGGAGGTTTGAGCTTGGGTTGTGGGAACATCCATGGAGGTGAAGATGCCGTGTGTGGTGTGTGGACCAGGGAGGAGGGGCGGGGAGAAACCCGGCCAGCTTGGGAGGGCCAGATGGCTGCGGCTGCGTTTTAATTCACCAGGCAGGCCCGTTTGGCCAGGATGGGAGGAAGGGGGAGGGGGGAAAAAAAAAAAAACAGAGGTCAGTGGATAGGGAGAGGCCGGGCTCTGGAGCAGATGCCTGGCGAACAATGGGGCTTTTGAAGGGGATGCTGGAGGAAGTGTGGCGCGCGCTTTGTATTGCCTCCTCCGCATTGCAGGTTGGAATCGGGCAGCTAAATTTTAATGAAGTGCATTCCAAAGTGTGCTCGTCAGCCCGGGCTTTTGGAGCGAGGGGCTCGGCTGAATGGGGACTAGGGGTGGGAGGGGGAGGGGGCTGGCAAAATGAGTTCCTGATGGATGGTAAAGGAGGAGATGAAAGCCTGCTCAGTGTGGAGGGCAAGGGAAGGGAGGGGGGAAAAATCAATACGTCCCCGTGCATATTAATAGGCTCCAGCAGGTGTTGGTAAATGTATGTTGCTGCATTGTTCCAGCGCCCAGGCTGGGGAAGGCGGGGGAGAGGGAGAGCTGCTTCCCCGGGCAGCTCGGTGGGCAAATGCCTTTGCACTTTGGAGGGCTTTGTAAGCTCTGGGGGAAAATAAGAAACGGAAGAGCTGCGATTCTCCTCTGTCCTTTTTCCTATTTCTAAAAGGAAGAATGTACGTGCAGAAGGCTTTTTAAGTTTGCTTCCTGGAAATTAACATGTGTATGTTAGAGCACTGTCTTATCTAGGTAAGAGATGTATGTCTGTGGGTATTAGAAAACAGAATCCAGAGTCTGGCTTGCTGAGTGCTTGGGAGCTAAAAGGCTTTTCTCCCTGTCTGGTTCCGTAAGTGAATGGGCCAAACCAGGAAGGCTGGGGGATTTTTGAAGATTCAGGAGGGCTCTCCCTCCCTTCCTCTTCCTAAGTCCTAAGTCTGACTGACCTGGGTACCAGGGGGCAGTGGAGTGCACAAGGAAGCTGTCATGTCCACAGTGTTGGTATATAGACTTTGTCTCACACACAAAGGGAGTGGATTTGTGCCTGAACTAAATTGTTTGAGGGTATGTATAGCTTATTTGTAAGGATTAGGTATGTTGGACCCTTTTCTCTTTCCCAGAGTTTACCATGCTCAACACCCTGTCAATTGAGAATCAATTAGGAGACTACTTATGAGTGTGTGCTAGCCAAATAACCCTTGCTGATTTATAGTGTTGTTTGTTTTACTGCTCCTCTTGGATGAGTATTCAGTGCTTTCAAAAGGTTCAGACATATTTGTTGGGGTTTTCAGTAAAATGGGAAGCTTTTGCATGAGGGCATTGTGACTTTTATATTGAAAACATAAAAACTCCATATGCACATGGTAACCCACGGAATGACATACTGTCTTTGGGGTTCTGGGAAAATAAATGCATTTCTTAGTTGAGAAAATCCTGTCTTTTATCATCTATAAGGCTCATACTTTCTGAAAAACTGGTGTTTTTTTGATCACTTGGAAGCCTGTATTAATTAGATGTGAAGTTGGATTCTTTTCGTGATTTAACTTGCACTGAAACTCGTCAACAAGGCGCAGCTCATCACTTGCCAATGAATTTTAGTGCTGTTGAAAGCTTTAGCAAATTAATGGTATCAACAGAGACTTGATTCCTCCATTTCTCAACTGAGCAAACAGAAGCAGTCTGGCCCTGTCTCTCAATGCCTTTCCTCTTTTGGCTTTGGGAAAGGGGATGGGGCAGAGAGAAAGGATTCATGATGAGGACACTTCTAACTCCTCACCCCCATCGCACCCACCCCAGGGAGTTAAAAACTGAAGCTTACCCATTTGCTTCCCTGTGTAGTTTCTTTCTTAGGCTGTATATTTCAACTTGTATTTCTGTGTTTAAAAAGATGCTTGAGGTCTGGTGTTTGGATTTGTTGTGTTTGTGCTAGAGAGATGTGGAATCGGTCCGTTATTTTTTCACTCAATTATGGCTCTTAAATTGGTCTGTTCTTCTGATTAGACTTGAGGCTCTTCTCTTGATCCTTGCTGAGCAGAAGCATGGGCATGTGTGTTTGATATGAAACCACCCCCAGGGGAGACTAGAGCCTCACTGCCTCTTCAGTTAACTGTGGCCAGAAGAGGCAATTTGTGAGGTGGTCCCTGGTGTGTCCACTGGAACTGCCAACCCTGAGTCTAGATTCTCTAAAAGCTTGTGGCAAAACAGTTTCATTCACATGGGCTTTATTAACAGAAAGGAGCTCTTTGAACCTTTATGTATGATACCCAAGACTGTTTTTGTGATAAACAGTTGTATAGATCTTTGACATTCTTGTGTATAAGAACAGAAACTATGCCCATGAATTAATGGTACCATAGAAGTAATGATTATAGCTGATTTTACCAAGACACATCTAGCAAAGACTTTGGATGAGACAAGCTCTCCTTTCCCCTTGTTTTCTATTCATTCTTGGCATATGGATGGGGGTAGAGGAGTGGAAAGAGAAAACAGAAAGAATGAGATCTCCATATTTACAAAGGAGCTAAACACCATGCTTAATTGACACCAGTTATTGAAAAATTTAATTGTAATTTCTCTTTGACCCTGTGTTGTGTAATATAAAGCAGGTGATGTGATACCAACTGAAACTGCCTATTTAATGACTCCAGTAAATAAATACACAGACCCATGCATTATTCTGATGTTGGCTTATTAGACTTGTATGGAATAGAATTTGGGAGACACTGAGCACTGAAGGTAAAAGGATTTCTAAAGCTGAAAGTAAATATAGAGATGATAGTACTAGAAAAAGCTAAATCAAAAGGCCCCCCCCCCCCGACCAGGATACCGCAAATATTTCTTTTTCTTTGCAACTGTATTTGCATAATAAAATTCTGTTCATTTAGTAATCACCATTTTCTCAGCATGTTTGTTTCTTCCTTTGAAAAAAAAAACATTTCTTATGTTGATAATCAGACCCCAAATATTTGAATGTAAGCACATCCCTCGCAGTCATACTGACACCCTCTGGCACCAGAAAAACTGTCAGCATTTTTTGAGATGTCTGGTGGGAAGAAAAGGCAACAATGCCAGCCATTAATTCAGTAACTCTGCTGATCTCTGTGTCTGATAGTAGGCCAGTTCTTCATGACTTTTAGGCTTTTGAAGTGTTATAAACACTAAAAATGTAAAGATGCTGCCTTCCTTTGCTTCCTGGGTCTTGTTGACAAGTTTCTGCTACTGTTGGCCTTCAGTAAATTTACATGACTAATTTGGGATGTCAACAGCCAGGAAAATTATGACTAAACAATGTTTCTGAATAGTGGGATCTGCCGTTTTTTATTGGTAAACCTGTTTGACAGGTGGTTCCATTTGATAAAGATGGCACTCAATCCATTTGCTTTTCAAGAATCTAGTGAGTTGATGACTGATGCCATCTAGATATCTGGTTTTGTTTTGTTTTTTCAAATACAGTCCTTGTGCTGCTGTTGCTGATTATTATTTCTTCATCCATGGAGGGTGACATCCTTAAAGTTTGGATAGGTGGTCACATGCAAGAATAAAAAGTCAGGAGAAAATGTTACCTGACTTTTACCAAGATGTTTGAGAAGATCTTAGGCATGAGAGTAAAAAGGGGAGGTCGTGGGCTTGAAAGTGACTCACCAGGCTGAATGTTCTTGGATGAAAAGATTTTTAAATGATTATCTGACCTGAAAGGGGGGGGGGAAAACATATTTCTTTTAATTCCATTCTGTGAGGCTCACCCTTTTGTTTGTGGAGATTTTTAAATTATTTCTCTTTCAATATCCCAATATATCTATATCTATAGAATGAGATATCAGTATGTATTCCAATATTTCTGTATCCAGTCCTAAGCACAATGCTTAGCACGTAATACACGTTCAATAAATACTTGAATGGGCCCATTAAGAACTTTGACCTTATGAAGTCATTATGAAGTTCAAGCTGTTTCCTAGAGTGCTATTGTAATTATCAAAGCAATGCAAAAAAGTACAACTCCTTGAAAAATCATTTTGAAAATAGAAAGTGAAACATAGGTTTGTTTGTATTTAATGATACATATTATTTTCCACCAACCAGATAGTTTATCCTGTATTCTTTTGGAAGTAAAAAAGCATTTAGATTTCTGCTCACCATTTAATTGTTCTGAAAAGTTGATACTGCTCTCCTGATGAAAGAATCTCCTTTTCCCCCGTCCTTCACAATCTGCTAGTCCTTGCATCTGAATTACTGCCCTGGGTATATTTCTTTGCCACAGTAAAGATTAGATCAGTGGGAATCTACAAATTTGACAACAACTGTTTGAAATAACTTGGCTATAAGACAGCAAGTGCTATAATTTTCTCATTAATTGTGGAGTCATGCCAAAGAGAGTTGCTTTAAAAATATATAATTATAGATAGTGACCTGAAAGGGAAGCAAAAAAGTCTGTAAACATTTAAACTCCTTTTTATGAGGCTTAACACTCCAGTTTATGGACGCTTTTCCTATATCCCTTTCTAGCTTGGGACTTTTTAATTTACTGCTTATAATTTTACATGAAGGTTACGTCATATTGAGAATAACTTACAATATTTGAGTGCCTACTGTGTGCCAGGCGCTTTTTAGGCCCTGGGGATCATAGCCCCACGAGCAAAATATAAAAGCCCCCTGCCCTCCTATAGTTTGTATTAGAATCCGTCTTAATTTACTTCTAATAAGATCAGGGAATAGGGATTAAGGTAGAAATGATTAGTTAAAATGAGATCTTTCCACTATGGGAAGTTTTCCCAAAAGTTACTGTGGTTGGCAAAAC